ACAATTTCTGATTATTTACCAGACAACATATTATACCGAGGGGTTAACCAATGAATTTAAGGTATTCAAAAAATTCGAATAGCCATTATGTTGTTCAAAATTGCATATCTCAAAACATCCTGTATGGATCTTGATGAATCCGAAACCATTTCGAGGCAACACATTAGTCTTCATGTTTTTGCCGTCAGAAAAATTTTAAAAAAATTATCCTGCTAACGGGGCGACCTCAAACTTTTCGGAAAGTATCACACTTTCAGATATCATCCTGTGGTCATAATTCCGAAATGGTGGAGAAACGTAAAAAAAATATGTTATAGCCAATCAACTGGGCAATCACAATCTCAAAACCAATCAAAGATCGGTTGATCTCATCCAAAGTTATCACGGTTCGAAAACAAACAAAATGTTCGCTTGTCTCACTTCAAATGTGAAGCAGTTTATATACGCTCGAGAGTTGTGGATAGACTTTGAAATTCAGTCAGTGTTGGGGATATAATAATAAAATTTCATGAAGATGTATACGATATTGTCTTAGTTATCATCAAGAATATTTTTCAAAACTTCATTACCCTGTATCTCAAAAGTTAAGACTTTTAGGACATATAAAGTTTTATTCTTGAAATAAGTCTAAGAATCAGCCCCTCAAATATTAGCATGTCTTTGAGGAACACCCTGTATAACTCAAATATTCATTAGGGCACCACTGTTGAATAGATACAAAGGGAGAATTATCCCCATTCCTTCAGCTTACTTCTACGTCTAATGTCTAATAGTTCTTGTTTCTGAATCTTTATCAAATTCCGTCTCAATGCAAAATTATACGCTGCCTGTTTCCGAAATGAAATACCTCTCCCAATTCCTGACATCAGTCGACAATGAACTTTTGAGGTAATGTTATCATCATCGTGTTGAGTCATAATCGAATAATTATTCCCGATTGATGTCAAGTTCAATATACGATCCGTGGAATTTTAATCATACTCTCTCCGTATCAAATATCGTGAAATGATATTCGACATTCTTGATTATCAAAATAATAGATAATTCATAGTAGAGAATAAGATCTCACGTAGGAAATCAGTATTTTCCGCACTAGGTGTGAAAAATGGTACCAACTCCGTTCTTTCCATACTAAACAAACTATACTCCAGTAGTCCAGTACATATCGAAATTTTATGTCTCATTTGTTTTCAATGTCATTACATTGATCTACCATCGTGATTCACTTGATATTCGGAATCCGTTTAAAGGGAATTGAGCTCAAATTACTATTAATTATCCGATGTGTGTAATTTTTGGCGGTCGCCAAAGAGGTTGATACTAAAGTTGTCCATACACTATCAAGGGTGCTTTCAAATCTGACGTGAATATGTGTTCAGAAGAGTTTTCTATGACGGAAATGTTGGTGTTTTCTGCTAACAGGTAGAAGAACGTTACGAAAATGAAGATTGGAATATGCAAAAAAACAAACTCTATCAATGATCACTGTATCATAACTCATTTTCTTCTCGATGAACCCAAAGCTCGTTTCTCTACTATTATTTTCAGGAAAAGTTTCGAACGATTTGAAAATTATTTTCCACCTATTTTAATCTGAACAATGAAACTTGCTCTGACCCTGTGTTGCTATTCACGATATATAGGTCATAGTGGTAGAAGAATTCACAGCAGAGTTGACGAACATTTGGAAATTATTGGAAAATTCAAACTAATAGTGTCTTCGAAAATCACGTTCTGAATTCTAATCATATTTTTGTTGATAATAATGATTCTAAAACTCCAGATATTCATCGGGGAGGCCCTTCACTCAATTTATTATAAATTTTCGGACTCAATTTTGATATTGATTCCCTCAATGAAGCAACACCATTAAACGGCCTCCCCTTCATATCTCAGTTATCAATTGTGCGATTCTTCCCAAATTTGGGGTGGTATGAATAACCAACACTATGATCAGAGAAATATGTCATTATGGACAGTGCCGTGAGTTAGAATTGAGACAAAAGGGGTCGATTTTTTATGGAAGCGCATATAAGGAGAAAATCTAACTTCATAACATTGTACCTCCATGGTTTCAAACCTCCATATGCAAAAATTCACTTATTTCGAATAACTAGGATTGGCTTAATTTTTTTTATTTTTGAAGAAATAACGTACTCAAATTTTGATATGTTCAATAGCTCCGATAGGTAGGAAATCATGAAAAAAAAAATTAGACATACCTACTTGTTTTTATTGAACTCTAACGTTCGTGAGAATACTGTTAATATATGTACATACCTGTTTGTTCGAAATCTTCCATAGAAATTATATGAAAATTCATATATGTTCGAAACCACGAAAACAATATTATGTATGGAGTTAGTTTTCCTGATTCTGTATCAGAAAAACTGAGTATATTTATGGTTATTCATATCAGTCCAAATTTGGTGAGAATCGCACGACTAACAGCTGAGATATAGAGGAGGGGACGTTTAAAGTGAGACACGCTGTATATATAAATGAAAGAATTTGGTTTCTCCCGAGGCTTCTCCTTTGACCTCATCGAGCCTGGCATCCATGCATCTCATGTCATGTCAGGGATTTGAGAGATTTTAAACCTAGTACTTTGAATGATCCAAGATCCAAGCATAGAACGTCTATGGACCACTTTATAGCATTGCATTATTTTTGTCCAGTGAACGTCCGTCCTTGCATGCCGAAAGAGAGACGGAAAGTCATCATCTCTTAGAGTTAGGATTCCAATATTCGTCATGTTCATCAGAAAAACCAACTATTAAGCTGGTTGATACTGTTATTGAAAATAAGAATAATCGATCAAAATCCATCTTTTGGTGATTAAGAAATCTTTGGACTGAATCTATACAGGGTGCTCGCGGAATTGAAGCGATAAATTAAGTGGGTTATAGAGGACAAAAGAAACCAAAACAAAATGACAATACATTTTTGTTGATAAAAAAAACATTGTTCCTCCAAATGACATCAGAAGTAAAATGTTCTTTTTGAAATCGAAATAATTGATATCTAATCAATAAAATATATCAGTGAAAATACCACTATTTTTATTCACTAGAGCATGTCAGTGTTAATGCAGCTATCATTTCAGCTGTCATCCGACACGTTTTTAGTTCCTTGGAGTTGAACTTCAACTTTAGCTCCTAGACACTAAAAGTGTTGCTTAGCAATATACATATTGATCATTTCATTGTTTCAGGAAGAGGAATTTCAACTTCAAGAGCTGATTTTGGAACAAATATGGACGACTTTTGAGCCGATTGCAGAAAAAAAGAGTTTTTTTTATGACATCTTACCGACAAAAAAGGTGCCGTCGGCTTAGGTAGTTAGTGAAAATGAATGTTGGAAAAAATAGTTTGCCCTCCAATATCAGGAATGCCTTATATGAGCCATGTCTCTTGACACCCTCTGAATATCTTCATTGTCTTCTACTTGAAAATAGTACAAACAAGAATTCAATAACGTGTGCATTTGATTACGAAACATAACATGAATATACATAATGTTTAATTTTTTGGGAGAACAACAGATTCAACAGAAAATACAGTGTTTGAATTCTCAAAATACAATTCGATAGTGAAAAATTAAATTCTCCTTGGTTTTGTCAGACAGTGCATGGTATATCTTCTGATGTGTATTGCAAATTATCTATGATTCAATTATATACAATCAGTGCCCTTATTTTTGTACTATCGTCTTCTTATTTTCAATGGTAATAAATCGATTCTCCTGCCATTTTCTTAATACATATTCATTACTCTGTTGGATGAAGGTATATGAAAACATATTTCTAAAATATAAGCTACTATTGGTCGAGACTATCATGATTGAAGATTTGAATTGACAAAGGCCTTGGTTATGGTCGAAACGTTTTTATGAATTAATCAACTTGGTTTTTGAAACCTGAATCCAAACCCCAAGATGAAACCCCTCAAAAAAATTAGAGTTGGCTATAAAACTCCAAAGAGTCATTAATCGGGTCGACTTTGTTTGGATCTTGTTATTAAATTATTGCTAAGATAACAATATATTGGTATTGGTAGTTACTGCAAAATTGGTTATGAGTTCAAGTGATAGCAATATTGTTGAAAAATGGAGAATTTTTCAGCTGACTACACTGTTTCTAACCCATTTTTTAAGAGCCTGTCCTGCACTGACATTTAAAAAATTATTTTACCCGATTTGGCAGATTTTTTCTATTTGCTGAATTTGGTCGGCGATGTGCGGAGTAGTTCAAGTAATCAATCATGTCCCCGAAATAAGGAAAAAATCAAAAGCCGAATGAAAGTGATCGTGAATTTTTTGGAAACTGACCCGATTCGTATAATCGGAAAAACTCACGTTGCTGGCTCATTCGCGAAATAGCTTGTTAAACTATCCACCAGGCAACTTAAATGGTTCGCTGGTTTAGAATGAAATTGAATAGGTTGATCTGATGAAATGCCGAAATTGTAGTCTTCTATTTTCTGTGCATATTGGAACTTCAAGGGAAGGCTTTCAAGTAGTCACTAGCACAACTAAACTGTCATATCTTTCTAATCACTTATTTTCTCCAAGGAAAGGTTTTCAATTAGTTACTAACACAACTAAACTCTCATATCTTTCTAATCACCTATTTTCTGAATTGGAAAAGCTTGAAGTGCAAATCAAAAACGAAGAATCCACTTTCTCGTTATTAGATAGCAAGCACAAAATTGATGTTGCCAAGATAGCAAGAAAGCTAAGAAGATGCCACTGAAATTGACAGATCATATTGCAAAAATCAATGATAGAAATTTCACCCTTTCGAATATTGCTATGATAGCAATATCTTCTCTATAACCATATTGCTATTTGTAAACATAATCGACCCGATGAATTGTGACATTTACAGCAGTATATCATTGACTTCCGGACCAATGTATTTTCCATATAACTTTCTTCCCGTATTATCTACTCTGAGATTTGCAACACCTAGTACAGAGTACAGCACCATTGCAAAACACCTCTCGACGACCAGTCGTGGAATCCTAATCACCCGACAGCTTCCGGAATAACCCATCATCTCATCGAGATCCACTTAAAAGATGCGCCCGCCTTCGCCAAATCCACTAGATCTTTCGCGCCACCGCCGCTATCTCGACTCCGGGCGACTCCGGGCCAACTCGCGACTCCGGCACTACGGCGTTTCCTTCAGCGTTTCAGTGTCCTGCCAGCATCGCTGGGTCGCGCACTTGACGCGAGCAGTTTCGCGAGTGAAATGACATGACGAAGTGACATGACAGAGCGATAGAAGCGAGCGATGTGTGTCTCAGCCGTGCCGACATCGTTTTTGGTCTGCTTTTCGCTGGGCGTCTACTTCCTGGTCATTTCCGTAAGTACGAAGTTCCTGTATTCCGCAATGAAAATGAAGGATGAGTCAAAAATTTGAATCCAGCTTTCTGGATGCGATAGTACATTGAAAAATAAGTATAGTTTGATGAATAAACTAATGGCCCAAAATGTCTCTTAAAATAATTTTTCCGGTACCACACAAATTGAAATTTCCTGCATAAATTTGTGTTGATGTCATATAGTTTTTTGAAACACTCCTACATTTCCGTTATTGTTATAAAGGGTGTTTTTAGAAGGTGGTTCATAATTTTTTTGATGGATACTTCTTTCCTTGTATTCTTTCCGGTAAAAAAAAAACAAAAGCATCTGATAGAGGGAATGAAATTATACCTATGAATGATACTCTCAACAAAATACAAAAAATGTAACCGCTCTCGAGATATTAGAGTTTTTGTGACAATGACAATATAAAGACGTTTTGACAGATATCGGCTCTTCCTCAGAACATAGATTTTTAATATTTTTCCTACTTGAAGAATACAAATCTAATCCCATTCAACCATGAAGTCTGTATAAAGAAGTGAATTTTATAGTAAACTGTAACCTCTAAGGGTGAGCCACAATAGTTCCATCTGGGGTCGCAGCGGTATTCGCCCCACTCACATGGAACCTACCTACCTGAAAAAGTTTTTGGAATAGGAAAACAGAACCATAATGAAAATGATATATAATATAATTGTAACGATTGAATTAGATTTCTTTGGATTTTCAAATGAAGTTTTTGAAAATCACAGTCTGGTCTAGCAACTTTTCTGGATTTTATTATACCTATATGCGCCTCTATATACAGGGTGATTCAAAAGTAAGCGGCATCCTTTCAGAGGCGTATTCCTTGCTTGAAAATAAGGCAAAAAGTTCCTATTGATAAGGATCCGAAAATGCTTCCTAAGGGAGCTATGAAAATGCCGAGGGGTCAACCACTATGTCCAATATGTGTACACTTGGTGTCCAATCCCGATGAAATCTGTCCAATCCAAGGTCCATTCTTAGCCCAATATTCCTATTCTCGCAATGTAAATGTCCAATCTCGTATTTTTAATAATCGATAATATACGATAATATCGGTCCAATCCTACGTCCAATCTGTCCAATCCGTGTACGTTTTTGAGAGAGTGGATTACCCCTCGGAAAATGCATATTAATTTACCTACATCAGTAAACAGACGCAAATCAGAAAGTTTTCAAAGTCGATTTTCTCCTAAATGGTACGCTCTATCGACATGAACTAGGAGGACCTTTTTCACGTAAAAAACTCTAGAATTTTATAATTTCCAAACGAAATCACAGTAACCTGAATATCCGGAGAAGAAGGGATATTTTTACACTTACCCTCTCCCGCATGTGACGCCCCTGAATGAAATTCTGAAATTTCGAATACGGAGTCCTATTTACCATCGAATGTTTATGCCGTACACCAATTTTTAAAAATTTGTTGTGAAGGATTTTAAAGTTATAGAGAAAAAACCGTCTTTGAGGTGTCCTATTCAAAGGGCCGTAGCTCCCTTAGGAAGCATTTTCGGATCCTTATCAATAGGAACTTTTTGCCTTATTTTCATGCAAGGAATACGCCTCTGAAAGGATGCCGCTTACTTTTGAATCACCCTGTATGTCTCGCATTGTTCGTATCCTCTAGCATACCAGGGTTACTTCAACGTTCTTCTGATTTTCTTAAAATCCCTTCAATTTTCCTCTAGCTACTGGACAACTCTCAATTTTTTTGCAAACTTGATTTTCTCAGAATTCCTCAGATTTCTCTCGATTTCCTGAGTTATTCTTGAACTGATCCTGATGATTTCCTATGATTTTCTCGAACTTAAAATCGAAGATAATCATCACGCATTACTCGAAATCCCTACTTCCCGAACAATGCCATTCTTACGAAAATCCTAAATAACTTGTCGGTATTTTCGTTACTTCATTGAGAGTCTCGAACGATATAATATATCGGGGATAAAAATTAGAATAACTTGGGGACAATAACAGTATGCTTGTTGAAAGTATCCAAGAGTTCATCAAAAACAAAATGATTTCAGAACGATTTTGGAGTTTTGGACTAATTGATAGTTTGATTTAGATATACCGGGTGGCTACGGAAGTATTGCTTACGAAATATCTCAGTTATTGTATGAAGTAGGTTTGTGAAATTTGAAGCGTCGATATAATGACATAAGAGCTAGAATTTGAGCATATTGACATGCCGAAGTTAACTTCTGGTCTGACCGGAAGTAACATCAACTTTCTAATTTTAAATAGAAACCCTATTTTTTTTTCTTTCCGCTTTATTCAGCATTCAATTCCCTTTCTAATGACATATCACAAGTTGGTATCTAACCAGAAACTTGATCAGAAAAAAATTATTATTGAAATTCACCGAGTAGGCCGTGGAAGCAAAATGAAAGCCAAAATTTGAAAAGTTGGCTATGGAAACCATACGTCACTTGATAACAGTTGCTACTACTGTGATATTTTATTTCCATTCGTCGGCGTTATAAAAAGCCGTCAAAAAAAATACTGGAAAAATTGGGAAAAAAACAATACTCTGTAGGTCCATAACTTGAATAGGAACATACAACTTTTTCACAGTAGTAGCAACTGTTATCAAGTGACGTATGGTTTCCATAGCCAACTTTTCAATTTTTGGCTTTCATTTTGCTTCCACGGCCTACTCGGTGACTTTCAATAATAATTTTTTTCTGATCTAGTTTCTGGTTAGATACCAACTTGTGATATGTCATTAGAAAGGGAATTGAATGCTGAATAAAGCGAAAAAAAAGGGTTTCCATTTAAATTAAGGAAGTTGATGTTACTTCCGGTCAGACCGGAAGTCAACTTCGACATGTCAATATGCTCAAATTCTAGCTCTTATGTCATTACATCGACGCTCCAAATTTCACAAATCTACTTCATACAATAACTGAGATATTCCGTAGGCAATACTTCCGTAGCCACCCGGTATGTATGTACCGGGTGTACCACTAAGAAAAGACGCCGGCTGTATCTCGGAAACTATTTGCCGTACAGGTTTCGGAAAAAAATATTCATGATAAAAGTGGCCAAGAAAAATCTCTGGAAATTATTTCCAAGTTTCCAGGACAGCCGCTAGAGGGCATAATTGCATTGGTCAACTCAAAAAACGGGTTTATATGAAAATTTTATATATCAAGACATATCAAAAACACTTTTTCCATGTTCTCGAGTTGATTTCCAATCATTTCGATAAAACAAATTGCGCTAGCTCTTTAAATGAAAGAGGGAGGAAAGGATGAATAGTACTTTGAAAAAACTCTCATTACTACAGTTTGGTGTAACGAAATTCAACGATCTAGGTCTCATTATGAAGGGTTTTTTTGGTTCGTCCAAATGAATCACGAGCTAATATGAACTGTTTTCGAGATATTTGACCCAAAATAGAAGTATACATAGTAATTTTTCATCTTCCTTCCTAGTAGTAGAAAATTACAAACATGTTTTTTTTTCTTTATGCCTGGAATAACTATTTCTGTTCAGCTACAGGATGAGATCTGAATAGTATATAATCTACTCAACACCGGAAATATACTTTTGCAATTTTCCACTACTGAAAATGATTAAATATCACTATGCAATCTTCTATTTTGGGTCGAATATCTCGAAAACAGTTCATATTAGCTCAGTTGAAGGTGATACATTTTTTGAACAAAATTGAACAATAAATTCGAAGAATTGGAAATAATTGAAATTTAATCAGTGGCGTAGAAAATATGGGAGGAAACTACTGGAAAAATGTCCGGAATGAATTCTTGGTCAAAATATGACCCATTCAAAGATAAAATCATATACCGAATTTGAATGCATTATATTCAATTATTCTTGAGATATTGCGAAACAGCTATTTTTATTTCTTAACTTCAACGCCCTCTATCTCGAGAACTGAACACTTGGAGGCCGTATGTCCCTATCTCAGTGATCATGAAATCACGAGGGCTATTACCTGTCAAGCGTTGTCGATCGAATTTCGCAACACCCTGTAGAAATTGGCCCATATCAATGTCCCAAAATGTTATTGACCTGATGGTGCATTTTCGTCTCAGAAATCAGCAGTTGGTTCCAAATGAACTCGTTTCCCACATAAGCTCGAATACTGAGTGTATCACTAATCAGGTGTGGCATCTGTTCTGTCCTTGACAATTACCTTGTTTCGTGAAAAACGCCGAGGCATTCGAAGAACCGATTGTGACGTCCGTATAAATGGATTTAGGCCTCGATTAAAGCTAATTGCAGTACAAAATTCCTTATCAGATTTATCTTGGTGAAGTGCCGTGGTGGAGGAATTTAAATGGGCCATTTTTCACTGGAGCTGATGTTCAGAAGTGAATACTCGCATTCTACGTAAACTGCCAGTCTAATTACGTCAGGCAATTTTGTTGTTAAAACGTCGTTACCGTCTTTTGACTTGGATGGTCACAAATTGATATGAGTGTGTAATGAATGACCATATAAGAGATAAACATCAACTGCATTATTTCACCTTATACTGGGTGTATTTGAAATCAAAGATATTGATAAAATGCGAGATGAATTGGCATGCTATATAAGACATATGATGTTTTTCAATCTTGTTATATCATTTCTTTCACCATTATTGAACGTTCGGCAACATTGCGATAATTATTAATACTTTCGATGCTTCTGACCTCGGCGAAAGCAAATGCTTATAGGTATAACTGCCAGGTTCAATATTTTCCGAAATGTTTTTTTTTTTTTGGCAGAATTGCCATCTATCTAATCTAATTGAATTTCTTCTTGTTCTTTCCTTATCTGTTCAATCAATCGCTTCAATTTCGAGAATATCCCCACGAACATTACAACATTGATATCAGTGTTATGTTAAAAGTCTTCTAAATCAAGACGTGTCGTAAAGTAGCCAATGAATTACCCATTTTATTAGAAATGAATTGAATTTCTTCGAAAAAGATAACGTATCACAGGGTGAGGATATAT